TGGCGATGACCAGGCTGAAAGTGTGGCCAATATTTTTGAGATTTTGTTTTCTTCATGGGCACTCACTATTGAACGTCTACAACTATGGCCCTGTTTAAGACTTGGGTTCCACTATAGTCGTATGATATTGACCACTAAGGAAGTTTGAGTCGGCCCATATTTACATTTTTCTGCTTTACATGCCTTAAAGGAATACTGTCAGCAATGCTTTTGTTTTATACTTTGAGCCTAGTAAAACATGTATGTCGAATGTATGTGAGACATGTATGTCGCATCTCTGACTGACTTGACTGATGCACAGATCCCGCCAAAAAAAACACTGGAAACAACAGCCCGGGCTGATTCAGTGGCCCTGGATTCTGCAATTTCATACTTGCACTTAAACTTATTGAAGCGCGTCACGTACAGTTTCACTTTGTTTCTGCGACGGTAATTAAATTTATTTTTACATGGATCCAGAAACCAAAACCACTCATTCACAATTAATTTCATACTCCGGCATACTCATGCTGTATGCTCTGTATAACTTAAGGTGATCATTCAAGTAAAACTTGCAATTCATTAAAGCAGTATTTTCATGTGGTGCTATTTATTATACTGTACCCAGGTGGTATATTTGACTCTAGTCTTTTAGTCATAACAAAAATTGCAGCTGACCATTCAAATTAAAGCTCAGTATACAACGGATTGTTTGGCGTCTTCTTACTTTTCCCAAGTGAAAACCCAACTTAGAAGTGTGACGATAAGAAATTCCTACTAACGAAAAGTGGTTTCAGCTTTCCCTTTTTTCGTATTGACTCAACAGCGTTGACTAAAATTGCGTATGTTTACTCTCTTCTTTTTCCCCGTCTTTCGTCTCCTCTTGTTTCACTTCTGACTGTTTTTATTGAGGGTATCAACTACGAATGTAACGACAACGAATGCACTTCAAACTGTGAACGCCCACAGTGTCCCCAAGTATCGAACAAGTAAGGGCAGATTTCAAACGTGCGGCAACTGTAGGCGGGCAGGCATTGATTTGAGAAACTGCTATATTAGCTCTCTAAAATACAGTCGAATGCCGGATGCTCTCGCAGGCTAGTCGGTTACGAGAGCTCGGAATTCTCGTAAGCGACCAGCTCTAGTTACCACCACTTTTTCGAATTTCCGAGATGGTCGCTTACGAGGGCTTCGTCTGTAGTGACATAAGTGAAAAAATGACGTTAAGATGCTGAAAATCAGTGGTGTAACCTGAATGTGCCTTGCAGCTTTATGCATTATCCGTGGCCGCTGACTTAAACCCCCAGGCCTTGATGAGGATGAAGCGCGCGCCGTTCACCAGTTGCTAAGCGCACGCGGCCGAACAGCGGGTGATTTATAGACTAATTCCTAGAGTTATTTTTGAAATGATTTCTTGCTGATATCCTATTGAACTTTCCAGACAAAAGAAAAAAAAAGTGATATACTCAGCCTAAGTAGAATCTTAAGCTATCTTTCCTTTTAGACCCAACAAATCATTTGTCATTTAACGGTTAAATTTTTTAAAAAGTTATTTTTAATCATCCCAAAATATGTGGTAAGTATATTAATTGATAGGAGAAATTTGTCGTTTTCGCATTATCTAAGAGCGGACTGCTAACGGTAATTAGTTTCCTTTTCTGAAGCTGCGGTTGTTGGTTAATTGCCCCAGGCAATGTAATGCCCGATCACTAAACTACTAAAATGGTTCGGCAGCGTGGGAATATGACCTGAATACAACTTGAATGTTCACAATCCATACGAAACTGACTCGCCACAATAACTGAAAATAAGTCGGACGTGTCAGTAGTTTCTTCGCCCCACCCTATAACGGACAGTGCTAGTCGCGGGGTGGGGGGGGGGGGCTTGGTGATAGAGACGAAGAGACGGTTGAGATACTTCAGACTAATGAAAACATGGATGGAGAAAGATACCATCAAGACAATCGAAAATGACATGGGAGTAGTGTGGGGCGGTATACATCAGCTCACAGTCGTTTCTTCTCAGTTTTTTAGGTAACATCGATGTCGCCCGGCATGAGGTTTTCGCGCTAAGCGCAGGCAAGCTTAACAAGCCCGCCAGGCGTTGTAAGCAAGAAAAAAATAACAAACATAAAAACATTTCGTGTTTCTCCTCAGTCTCACTCTCACTTTTCACCCACGCTCCGAACCCGCCTTTCGTTTGACCACCCGCGAGCGTTCTTATCTTACGCAAGTATGGGTGTTTTGTGTTCCGTAATCACCTAATGTTGGAAGTTCTCGACACCGTAAGGACTAGGGCTAAGCAGTGACTGAAGTGTCCATAAAGATGTGTCTTACGAATGCCTGAAGAACAGGAGGGATAAACTGTGAAATAGAAGAACTGTGAAACACTGTACTCTCCGTCTTACCGTCACTGCCTTTGTAGCCCCCCGCACTCGTCATGCCTCCCGCCACTAGGAACGTCTGCGCCTGCGTAGTTGGCCTCATGTATACAGCTATTTCGAGAAAGGTATTGTGGGTGGTTTTGAGTTCACTGTTCTTCCGGAGAAATTTGAAAGAATGGCACGAGGGGCCATGGAAGTATGTTTGCGAATCGACTAAAGATCAGCAACAAAAGTATAGGTTCGAGAGCTATAGTGTCAGGAACAGTGCATTGTTCATATTCGTTACGTTTCGGGATTGTTGGGTGCACATTTCTTCCAACCACCTTTCTCGAAATAGCTGATAGGACAACGTTACGATCCTGTTTTCCGGATATTCTTCCAGTAGGGCCTCACGGATCTACGTAACTACAAAAATATTGGCCAATCATTTTTGGTGCTCAATCTTGATATTATTTCTTCGGCCCATCATTTAATCACTTCCGACAGGTAACAACATCTGATCTGGCGCCTTTCTGCGTACGTTGACCCTTGAAAGTAATTAATTTGTGTTTCGTAAACCAAGTGGAAAACGCTACACAGTGCTCAATCGAGTATTCTTGGAGAATGAAAAAAAAGAGGGAATTTCGAGAGAATATTCGAGAACAAAACAACAACAATACTAACAACAAAAAACAAATGAAACAAACAAACGACACCTTTACGTCACATCCCTGAAGGAGTACGTTGCCCAGCTTTTGGAATTTTTGGACGTCGAACATTATTAGAAGAATCTTGCAAGAATCGTATTGTTAAAAAGCAAAAATTCGCTTCTAGTTTCGAAGTAATAAAAGGGGCCAATGCCGCGCGCGAGTCAAGACACTCTCCCGAGATGCTTCCATGGTAACTCCTGTTCCGGTTCTACTGAGATACTGAGATAGTAGGGAGCTTTAAGCAAAGTCGACGGTGACGGGAACGAGAACGTTAAAGAAACAGGTTTTGATTGGCAATGATTTCTTTGCCGTCACTGCACTGACTAAGACTTGAAAATGCCTAGTAATTCTACGTTTTGTGGAGGACGTGACCACAAGTCAACGAAGTCAACGATTTTCTCTTTCTTTTCCTGACCTTTCGATACAGAGTTTTAGAAATAATTCAACTCCAAAAATAGTTGACAACATTTGACGAATTGAACGAGATTGAATAAGCGCGATTAAGTTAAAAGCATGGCGACTTCACTTTTTAAGTGACAATTTGGTAGCTGCCACCGTCCAAGTTCCCTAAATTGACCTAAATTGGCTGCGCCCTCTCACCAGATCACGCCCGATCTATTTTTTAAGGAATTTTCCTTGAGCTACGTCCCTAATGTCTAAGAAACTGGCACAGCAGAGTTGGCACAGGCTAATCACATGGCTGGCTTTTTAACCTCAAGAACATTGTGACAGACAGGTCAGTAAAAACCCAAATTCTTTGCAATACACTTGAAGTGCGCAGGCGGCAGAGAGGTGTGAGTTACCATTCGACAGGAGCGATTCGATTCGACAGTTAATATGTTGGATTGTCAAGCAGCGACTGGAGATCAGTAGTAACAAACTGGGCCATCTTTCTAAGGGCAAGCACCCACACATTTTCCCATTTATATCGGCACATCCCCCCTTTTAGGATGAAGACGCGCCCCAAAAAATTATAATAATATTTAAAAAAAATGACATAAATAAAAATTGTTGCGTAATACTACTGTAAAAAATTTCTACCCGGATTTTTGGCCTTCAAGAAATAATCGACTAGATAGACGAATAGTGTGAACCATATCATGAATGAACCATACTGATTTAGCGACACAACATTTTTAGACATCGAACACTGACGATAAAAAAGAAAATGCAATTGCAATTTTTCTTTTTCTTTTTTTTAAAAAAAGCAAAAATTCGCTTCCGAAACTGATGAAAAATTCAGTCTTAATCTGTATGTCCTGTACGGGCAATTTTTTCGCGCGCCATGGCGTGTGAGAGACGCGCCCGGGATTCTTCCAGACGTAAAATGCATGGAGATTGCAAGGTTGTGTTACAAAACCCATAAAAAACCTGAATTTTAGACAACATTTCACCAAGTGCTTGAAGTGTGCATGGTGCGTGGGTACACTCGAACTGCAAGCCGGTGAGTTGCCTCTAGCTTGTTTTTTTTTTTGTTTTGTTTGCATGTTGTTTGATTACCAAGACGACAAAATAAATACCGAGGTCACAAAATTGAGTTCATGCCTATGTTAGAACGATATCACCCACTCAATTTTCCATTTATGTTCATACGCCTTTCTTCACATTCCTGACTGTCTATGTAACTATTACTGGAACATTCCACGCGTTGTATACTGGTCAGCGGCTATACACATAAGTAAGAGTTCCTTTTACCGACGCTGTGATCAACAGAGTCTGCCGTGTTGATTGAAAGTGATTCTTTAAATCCTTCCTTGGACTTCGCTCTGAGGTTGAATATGTCTGTTCTTTGTGGTCGACTACAAATTCGTCTGAAAAAGTAGTCACTCTGAAGGTAGCGCTTCAACAGCGGCGACATAAAATCAGTTCAGTTGAAGTGAAACTGGAACTAACTAACGCGTACTTCGATTGCATAGAGTTCAGTGACTGCCACGAGACATCACCTAAACATGGCACTGTCGACTGTCGTCAGTCTAACCTGGATTTTATTCTCAGTTTTTTCTTTCGTAAAGGCGGCGCAAAGTAAGTAAAATCATTATGTTTCTTTCTCTTAAGTACGTGTGTGTGTTTTACCATGGGATGTAAACAATGGTTGCGTGAATTTTAAACGTGCGTCTTTCATTTAAATCCAACATGTTTGCATTAAAATAGAACGCACAATACGGCGAACAAAACACGGTCGTTAACTTTTTTCAAACTTTGCAGAATTTGACTTTTGGCACTTGCATTAATCGCCACTAGTGGCTTCTGTTCCCGGGCAAATATATCTCTAGGAAAACTCGGACCGCGTCCAATTTGTTTGATGATTTTCAGTTTGTCTGTCGGGTAGATGTCTGCTATCATTTGATCCCGGTGAAATCCTTTCGCCAGTTGCAAATAATCCTTCACAGTCGCGAATACTTTGTGGAATTAGTTTCTTCTGAAATTTTCAAGTATTCTGATATATGTGCACCGTAGTGCACCGTTTCTATCTGAAAACAAACAGCGATACACAATGGCTTAATTTAAACACAATTTTGTAGGCTCTCCTATGATTAAACGGCGGAAAACGTTTGAAAGCTGCGTCCGGGCTTTGGTATAAATACATATTTCTCGCGTTCTGGGTTATTGAGTGAGAATTTCGAATTGTGGTTTTTTTTGACGTGGTGTTGTGGATAACTTGGCGCCGTGTTTTGGATGTTTTGTCTACATCTTTCTATAGTTAATTTGCAAGTAAAGAGTATTTTGAATCAATGACCTCGTGTTTATTTTACAAAGACGTTAAGGGATTTCTTTTTTGCACTTAAAAACATTTTATACGTGGTTAATTTCACAGTATAACCCGTAAACAAGCGTGAATTTTTGATTAGATGACCTACCAGGTAATATCGAATTATTCATAAAACAGTAATAACTAGCAGTCTGCACAAAGTAATATACTGTTATGAAGAATATAACGTGATATAACTTGATAAACTGCTCACGGGAGGGACTAATTTTTGTAAGAATTTGAACTTACTGTAAAAAAAAATGAGCGGCATTCTGCAACTATAACTTAAGTTACAAAGGAAAAAGTCGCACAGAATATTTCTTCCAGATGTTTCAATTTCGTCAGGGCATGTCAAATTTTTAATGATTTTGGAATCACTGTACTAAAATTGTTAAGAGATATTTGTTTCAAACGCACACGATGTTACTTTTTTCTCTTCTAGAAAACGCCTAGATATGAATTGGAATGTTCATAAAATTATATCATTTCGTGTGCAAGGTCATGCATGGCAACTGCTAGTTAGATGAATATTCTCGTTTGAATATATTAATTGGGGTACCCATCTACAACCCACGCAATAAACACGAGTTACAAAACCCGAATTCTGGCCCCGTTCCTGAAAAATGGTGACAGACAATGATCGATTTTGGTCATTTCTTTAATACAGTATAATCGACAAAAAATTTGCACCCATTGGCTCATTTTCGTTAGTTTTATTCACACAACATCTATATGAATAAGAATTATGTATTTGTGAGCACTGTGAAATTATAATTTTAAATTTGTCTGAAGCTGGGCGTTCTAGTGGAGCGAAAATGTTAAAATGCACTTTTAAAAAGATTTCAATGTAGAGGCTTCGAGTAAGCTATAAAATCCGATAATATGCGGCGAGTTTCGAAAGATAATGACAAATTTATTGTATTCACGTGATACTGTAGAACTCCAACTACGGGATCAAAAATTAATGAAAAACATAATTTTAACCACGTTTTGCCCAATAGACAGTGGCTTAATGGATCACTCTTCTGTAACCACGATTCTGAATCAGTCGTCTATTTCTGGGCTAAGCTGCACGAGATAGCGAGGTTTTTTCGTTCTTGATTCTTGGCAACGATTTCTTAATAAAAGTACGCCCGGGGAAAGAAAGACTGGCCCGCCATGTTACACGTGAGAATACGAGACAGACAAAAAATATTGAACGAGAACTTTCAATTGCTGCAAGGGTCAATAAAAACGCCTTCTTTTGTTTTCAATACTTCTCTTTTCTTGGCGCCCGTTGAGTGATCCAACAGCCAAGAACGTTACATGTGTTGATAAGAAGGAAAGGGAACAGATTGAAAACTTGTCAACATCATTACTTAACTAAAAACATCACGTTATGTTTACATCTTTCTGTTTATAGTCCGCTCCGTATGACACGAAAAGCTAGTAGACCTCCTATGCCGCGAGGAGAAAAAACACTGTTAACGAATAAAGTGCCTTGATCTTTGAACTTATCCTTGCGTTTCAAAGAGACTACTTAAACTTTTGCAAGTGCTTAGAGGCTGACGTCTTGCATCATGAGTGATAACTTAGGCTGGCGAACAGTTCATCGTGACGAGTCCTTCAGCATATAAAGAAATAGTGAGACCCATAAGAATAGAATGAGTTCGCGCGCAAGTAACACGCATTCACTCGCTCCAGTGAAAAGTTGAACATATGTTCAATTTTTTCCGGCGTTAATAGTTAAGTTTCTCTTTTAGTCCTGAGTAAGAGTTAAATTGTTCCTTGACTAGTCCGTGTGGAGGCATATAAAGCCGTAAGCCTCTGGCGGAGTGAAGAAAACGGTGGGGCCATGGCTTTCTTGGTTAAGATGATCTCTTTCACACTGTAGGTTACAATAATAATACAATAACTAAGTAGTTAAATCGAGTTTCCGTTATATGGACGTTTTCCAGCTGTGTTAAGTCCATGTGAACATCCATATTTAGTTTATCCCATCCAACTTTTTCTGTTTTAAGTAAAAATACTGATAAGGCGTTTATTCATATCAAGTCCCACGTACAGCTGTAGCTAAGATCTGAATCGGTTCATTTCCCTTTATAAAGCAGCTTTCATGAGAGAGCTGTTTCCTTCTTTGATTCCTCAAAAGAGATGAGCAAGATGAGCCACAGTGTCGGAAATGGCGTCTGCCTTAATTACAGGGTATCACTGAGCTACGCGAGGAGCCAGTTCATCAAGTTGTTTTTCTTTTTTTGCAAAGAGACACTATGTAGAAGTTAAGCCGAATTGAGGCAACCTTTCGTAGTACTGCAGCGGCTCCAGCTGCCAACTTTACTGTTTTAAACAGCTGACCACCACGCTGTTCGGGTTGCTATTTTTTTTAAAATACCCATCCTCAGATTCTGATGATATCACCATCCTTCCCTTTCACGCTGTAAAGTTCAAAATACAACTTAGAAACTGCTTGTACGGCAGGCAGTCAATTTCGTAAGCGACAAACCAATTCCATGAGCGACCACTTAAACTTAACATTTTGGGTGATCGCGTATTGTACACTGTAAGTGCGACTGTAATTAATTTACTCTCGCAAATTTTCTAACTGCTGGGCATTCAGTTTTTTAAAGACCTTTCTCGGCTGCCGGGCAAATAGCCTTAGCGTAATTTAAAATACATGTATTAGCACTTGAATTAGGCCCAAGGAGACACACTGTTTGTTCTCGACTAAGGTTGGGCTCTTATGTAAAAGCTGCATATTACTTGTACACATGATCTGATTGACCTGTCAAAGCTCGATTGCAAAATAGGCAAGATACACACATGTAATGTTAATTTGAAGCAAATGACTTTCTATCATACCGATTCGATTATTAATATTATTACTTCAAGAAGGACCTAGAAATGGAGACGCTTGCTTTGGATGAGTGTGGATTAGATTACAGGAAAATTCGATCGTACATTGCATCGAATGATAGTATTTTGACAAGCAATTTTTGAAAAGTTCAGGGGCACCCAACGTCAATTTTCGGAAAATATCTGTTCGGAAGACGATTTGAGATCTAGAATTTTCGGAACAAAGTTTCTTGTAAAATTTCTTGCTTGCCTGCCTCTCTTAGGAGAAAAGGTCACCTAGAATTTTCGGGAGCCTTTTTTCTGGCTAAAATTTTCGAAGAGGTAAGTTTTGATCCCTATAATTTTCGGATCACTAGACTTTCAGCTAGGAAATCCGAACAGATGAAAGATTTTTAGAGAATAAAAATATGCCTATATCTACCGTTTAAATACTAAAATACTTTTAACAATGCTATGGTGGTTTTGAACTATATTCTCGTTGGGTGCCCCTGAAAGATTCATGCCAATAGTCGCAAATAAGATGACAATAAAAAGTAACAAGTAAAGTTTGGCAATATCTTGTTAAGTTTGTCGTTGGTCAAACGTTCCACAATACCATGTAACATTTCTTTTGTTCTTGAAAATACTGTATCATTTTGTTCATTGGCGATGATGGTTGGTTGGAAATTGACACATTGTTATATGCAAAATATTTAAGGAAGCACTTTTGACTGCATTGTCCTGCCTTCTGCTGAACAGTGTTTCGACTCAACGTTCAAGAAAACTTTCGGTATCTTTATTATTGATCCTGTAAGTAACAGGCTCGCATCACTCTCACTAACGGCTTTTAAGCAGCAAAACTGAGAGAATGATATTTAGCGAATTTATCATGAACGGGGAGTTTTTCAATGATGCAATAAATTTTTTTAGATGTCTGCATTTTGTGGCAAAGGTTACATGGAAACTGGACCGGCGTTCTTATTTTTTATTTTTTGAGCCTGAAATGTTCTAATCGTGTTGTTATATATTAAGTTACGTGATAAAATTCAGAAAACCAATATGAACCTAAAAAAGATAATTGTGCGCTGTATCATGCAACCTTCCTTTACTTGTTTATGCCGGTACAAGTGGTAAAACGGAATAAGGATACATGCAGCTGTTAGCTTCAGCTTTGAGTTACGTTTAGGACCGGTCCGTGTTAGCCTCGACGATCTTAGGAAAAGGCTTCTCATATAGAAAAGAAGAGTGTTGTCTCACTAGATCCGGCCCAAAACTTACTAAATACATATGTTGCAATCCATTTCTATTCTAGCTGATATTGGCAACAGACCATAACATTATTAAAAATAATAATAATAGAACCGTCTAACTTTGATTGATTATCTAATGAAAGGTTGAGAAATGATATGGCATTAACTGTAGCGAGGCAAACCGCCACAGGATAGACGCAGGCCTCAGTCACGATGTTCTTATTAATAACCACGATCATAAATTGAAGATAGAGAAATGATAAAAGGCGATCCTAAAAAGCGTCCTAGACGTCAAAAAATGTACAACCAAAATTCAGGGTTTTTTAAAAAACTTTTTCTTGCGGTAGTGTAAGATTCACCCTTGTACGTCTGTTTACTGGAAACACCGTGCTGAGCTTATCCAACATGTCATGCTGTGTTTTTTTCAACAATGCTGGATGTTGGAAAGCCGATTAACTTCTTTACTATCAAAACGCTCAGAGTCAATAATGGGGTCATTTCCTGTTGTGAGAAATTAAGTTTATCGACTCTACTTACTCATTCCCGTTCTAAAATAAAAATAAACGACTTCGGAAAAAATGTACGCTTGTAAATCCTCTGTTAGACTACAAGTAGTCCCCATTTTTCCTCAGGGATAGTAGAGCAAGCGAAACGCGAGCGCGCGTGAAAATCACCTCACGCGAGAAAGGCGAGACGCCGCGTCTCGCCTTTCTCGCGTGGGTGAGTCTAATCCTCTGTCCACTTTACGTTGAGGTCACACCTCCATCCCTCTTTTCATTTGCATTCATTAAACATCATTATCATCACCACCACCATCATCATCATTATATCATCATCATCATCATCACTAATGCCATGGCTTTTGTACTCATTGCGTGCTTATTTACCATCTCGTCTCACACTATCCCGTTCCTAGTTCTCTTCGATGTCCTTTATTGTTGTTTCAAAAAGTGATTCTACATTCTTTAACAGGTGATAACGGAGACTATGGAGGTATTCACGTCAAATGCATTTCACAGTATATGCAGCTTACCCTGGAAAGAGATCACTATAAAAAGATAGATCCTGAGACCTTACACTTAAGAGACCCAAGATGTAAAGTTGCCTTTTACAACGAAACAATCATGGTCATTCGAGCACCGCTAGGCAATTGCGGTACAAAGTCAGCAATCAAGGGCAAATTAATGCTTTTTACTAATGACGTTTATGCGGAAGTGAGTGGAAGTTCGGGCATTGCACGGGCTCCAGCCTATCAGTTCGGTCTTCAGTGTCTGTACTACACTTCTGTTAAAATATCATTGCATTCGTTCAAGGCAGAACCTAAAGGACCGATAATTATTAACCCTGCACCGGGTAAGTGTGCTGTTAATAATGTCTTTTCTTCTCTGATAAACAGATTGCGAGCAAACCGTGGACTCGGGAGGTAGCGATTAGAAATTGAAACTTCCTGAGGCCATGATTCAATCCCTTCGCCCAGTTCACGGTACACTAACACTCACACCACCCAATCCCAGAGTCGACAGCTTGCTCAAAGGGTACTGGATAAGTAATGGTAATAAGATTGAGTAGAGTGCAATTCAGCTGGGAGTAATAAGACTTATTGTTATTGACACAATTTTATTATATAGATACTGATGAAATACCAGGATTTTTTCTTTTACTAAAAAATCATATCTTCATCGCGCGCAGTGAAGATACTAGTTTTATCTTTCACGTGTGAGGATATTGGTGTCGCCATGGTTACTAACATGATTAGCCAATTACAAGAGCGCTTCCCGTTTTAATAGAGTTTTCGAAGTTTTCACGACAAACTGAACTCCTCCGGACCCTGTGGAACAGGCTAAACATCTTTACTTTCTCATTGGTTTATTGACTAAGGCTTAGTTCACACACCGGATAACTTTTCGTGTCGACACTCTCTTCTCCGCAAATGCATCCGCCGATGAGCTTCAAGTTGTGTTTTATGTAGGAATTTCATTCAGTATCTATAAAATAAACAGAACGTCATCATCATCTCGTGCTGAAAGTATCTCTCACTCGTTCGCTTCGCTCACTTTGTGAGAGATACTTTCAGCACTCGAAGATAAAATTCGTATCCCCGCGCTGCCATGTATTAGCTTAGAGGTATTAAAATTCAAATAAACTTTATGTCAAGGCACATACGAGCCCACAGGCTCAAATAGCGTAAGCTTAACGCGGCCTCCGAAGAACGAGGCACATAGTTCCTCCATTAAGTTCTCTCTCCGGACTCCCCACCCCTTCGAGCGCCATCTTTATGTGGTAAGTGCGTACATTGATTGAATAGTTTAATTAGAGTTAACCACTTCACTTGTGAAGGAAAAAATGCGACGGGAGGGGGTGCTCGTTAACTTTCCTTAAAGAGGGGGATGGGGGGGTGAAATTTACAGAGAATTCCATGTCTATTTTTTGAATAAAATGAAAGGTTTGTGTTTGGGTTCTTTTTCATCGGCTGATTAAACCTCCAGTCAGAGTCAAACGGCTTTTACTTTATAAACCCACTTGCGTACTGATAGTGAACGTTTGCTCGTCATATCGATCTTTGAGTACTTTTCACTCCCTGCTTTCCTAAAAGAAATTATCAGCATATTTATGAGACTATATACACATATTATAATATGATTTCTCGACTTTATTTCAAGGTATTGGAGTCTTCGAGTTTGAAACAAGTATGTACCAGACAGACAAGTACATCAGTAAGTACACACAGTTTCCCGTCAAAGTTCACCTTGGAGAAAGTATCTACCTACAAGTTAACATCAGAGGCAACGAAAGTGGTTTGTCTCTGCTCCTGGAGAACTGCCGTGCGACACCAACTGCAAATCCAAATGATACAAGATACTACCCCTTGATCAAAGACGGGTAAGTGTTAAAAGGATGGTGTTAACTATTTTTAGCCGAGTAAACTACAAAAAATTAAATAAATGATGGCCAAATTTAATTTAGTGCAGAAAAACTACAGTCGAATCTCTTTGTGTGACCACTCCCGTATACGACTATCTATCCAAAAATGTATAAGAACATTAAGGTGGCTCGACTGGATTTTCAAGGGGGGATACCTTCCAAGTTTGAGCATTAACTACGTCGGCATGAGTAAAGATATAGGAAAAAGGTTACCACAACTGTATTATATAAAGATAAAAATTTCTTATGACCTGGGTTTTATTACAATCAGAGTCGCCATGGCAACGTAATGACGCCATAAATTACGTTTTTTGATTCATCTTTGTGTTTCTCTGTACTAGGAGTTTTTTTAAGAAATCGCTCAAGGGAATATGTACCTGCCGACGTAGTTAATGCTCAAACTTGAAAGGTATCCACCGTAAAAAATCCAGTCCTGGGGCCCGTTTCTCGAAAGTCCCGATAACTTTTCGGGCCCGAAATCAAATATTCAAATCGAAATATAAAGAATAAGAGCGCGGGTCCTGGCTAGCAAACTTCTCCATTTTGTTTCACTAACTGATAGTTTTATCATGGTAGATGCAAAACTATTGATCTTTAATGTAAACGGAGACAGCTTACGGGGCCCGTTAATTATCGGGACTTTCGAGAAACGCGCCCCAGCCACCTTAAATTTTGAGGATTGGAAATCAGGTTGGACACCTTATGTTTATTACACAACAGTGTACTCCTTGTAGATAACCATTTATGAGTATATGTTTGGCAAATTTGTGAGAAAAGTGGGGAAATCAGGAGGGTTGTCCGATACACCCGCACCACAACGGTCCGTATAAGCCATGTGTCGATCACATACACATACACATGACTGGAAATCAGAGGAAGGGACAGTTGTGCAAGGAAAAGAGTTGAATATGGGGCTTAGCACCAAAGTACAGTGACTAGGGTTAAGCACTCTTTTCAAAACGGTTAGCTTTCAATAATGTAATGATCAATGTCATATAAACTGCGCTAAAATTAACCGATGTCGGTAGTTAGCCATTGATGGTGTAGTGGATACGGATGGTGCGGGTTCAAGTCCTACATACTCTTTTCTTCCGTTGTCTTTCTTCTCTTACTAATCAGTGCTTTAAGTTATAAAACTCCTATCATGTGTTTTGAGTAAAGATGACAGTCTGATTTTAGGGTATCCACTCTAGTCACGACCATTGAGGATTCAACGATATCAGTTTATGTTGTATTACACTGCTTGATGACTTCATTTTACTACAACTACCAGAATCCTTCAAGTTGCTGTTAATCTCATAGGGATTGGCAAATTTGAATAAGAAAGGAAAAATGAAGTGAACTCTGATAGTTGTAGTCAAATGTCGTCTTCGTGAAAATGGCCTATTCAGTAGAATTCAGTAAAATGTAATACAACACCGGCTCGCATACTGTGAGGCAATGAAGTACATAGATGCTTGTGCATCAGTGGATTGGATCTGCGTACGCTTACGGATCCCAGACCTGCCGGAACTGAGCCCCAAGCCAACAGTGCTAAGGAGCATTACTTCGGGAGGGCATTCGAGATAAGACTCTTGCTCTTGATCTCAGATCACCCGGATGTGTTACAACAAGGCAAATCCAAATTAGATTCTCTAGAATCAAAATAGCACGGCAAAGTGACGAGCAGCGGTGGAATGGGGCGGCACTCATATTTTCCAAAAAAGAGCGCTTTCCAGAAGTATTTGTTTCGGATCAGTATCCCTAGAAATGTGCGGATCTTAAATCCTAAAAACCTAGATTTAATTGAGCCTTTTTTTACCTAATAAATGGAGCATGACTTTAGATTCATATCTTTAGTACAGAAATGCGAAGTCAGCTTTTGGATACATAAGTCCGGCTTTAAAAATACCGTCCCCCAAATAAACTAACGTAGAAATTCCTTGGTTGCGTTTCAGATGCCCAGTCGATGAATACTTGAATTACAAGAACTCCGATTCTCCTTATCAGCGATTTAGTTTCCAGTCCTTTAAATTCAACAACACTGAAGTAGTGTATCTTCACTGTGAGGTATACGTTTGTGCAAACAATACCAACTCAACACGCTGTTCAGAAGGCTGCACACAGGAACCAGGCAACACTAGAAGACGGAGAGATAACTGGATGGCATCTGATCGCAGGGGATCCACCTCTTTACAGGGTGCAGTCAAAATTTTAACGGAAAGAGTCCAAAGGGCGCCGTTACCGCCCGCTGAAGGTTAGACACTACTAACTCAGAATATTTCCGTTAAGTTCATCGTAAAAAGATTATTTAAAATAGGGGAATTACAATTGGTGCAATGCGGGAAAGTTACAACGTTTGCAGTAATGGAAAAGTCAGTTCAGAACTCTCTAATTATCTGCCTCTCTGAATGACCTTGACCGCGCAAACCCACATATGAAAGCGAGAACTAGGCTTCTGCTTGTCAAAACTGACGGACCTTTCCGTTCCTTTTACCCTGAACGTGTTTATGGCCTTGGGTTTTTGTTTCAGTGACATGTGAGATCTAAAGATTATTTTTGAAGCGGCCGTTCACAATTTTTACAGTAGGCTCAGTTCTATGTACAGAAACGTTTCAATTCCGTTGTATGATTTCTGTAAGTACCCACGTCAGTACAGACTAAAGACAGGTTCAATATATAGGAACATTATATAACCATCAATCAAATACCAGGTGAGTTTTGGCGCGTAAACATGATATCTTAACACGTGAAAAGGTCACCGTTGCTAAGGCTTCATGTAAATCGCTACTTTTGCAGCAAAATAGAAATAAATAAATAAATAAATAAATAAAGTTACATTTGTCTTCTCATGTTCAAAAATACTTCACTACTAGAAGAGAAATTTCATATCTCCGCGCCGCTATGTAATATCCGCTATTGTTATATAGCTGGAAATTTTTTCTCAACAGCACGCGGTCTCATTGGTTACTTCGAGGTCACATGATATCTAACAATGAAACTGTTTCCCGCCAAAATCTCTGAGCGGCTAACATTGAAAAAATCTATAACGTCGTAGGGTAACAACGCAATGTTACCCGCGAATGTTGACCGATGACCGCCGTTACAGCGAGGTTTAATGAATTTCCAGCCTCAAAATTTCCAGTTATATAACAAATCACCTAAAGACTTGTCCCTCGGGAAACAATAAATTTTCCAGGGAAACAAAATGAACTGTTTCCGTCGTGACCAGTCATTAAGTGTTTAATACTATTTATTGAGACTGGCATTTTCTGATCCTTTCAGGTTCTCGTTCCTACGCCCCTGTCGTAACAGTTGAGAAGTTACTTATCCTCTTGACGTTCACTCTGGCATGTTTCTCGGCGTTCTAATGAACTTATCAATGTTAGTCATAAAAACCACGAGATGGAAGAGGTGCGACCAGTGTTCAAGTTTATTGTCAGAGGACAATACATAGTTGATGGCGTACTTTGGAAACCGATTAGTAGATAGCAAGGAAAAAAAACCCAGATTACTTTCTGCAGCAAGAGATAAACAAATAGAGATCATTTAATAAACAAGTAAAAAAAAGGTACTATAAACTTAGGAACGTAGTGATCACACTTCAAGAAAAATTTTCAAGAACGTGAGACGAGTCGTTCGGATAACTATCTGTGCGCCTTTTCTTCATGTAAAGTCGTGTTTGTTTAATTCCTTAGGTGATGCATTTTTTTATTTTTAACTCTTTTGCTCAAGCGTATTTTCCAACCATTGCAAGGATTTTTTTATATCACAATCTAAAAGATTGCGTTGAAAGTGAAATTTGCAAAATTATAATTATCATGCTTGACTGACAGCCAGGCTAACATATTGTGCCACGCGTAGAATGTAGTAGATAGAAGCCATATATATTTAATCGCAGCTATTAACATTTAGATTTAGATTTGAATATTTGATTTCGGGCACGAAAACCAACCAGGACGTTCGAGAAACGGATAAAAAGTTACAGTTGTAAGGCAAAAAGATGTCAGGTTTTACTTAGCATTAACTTTAGGCCCCTATGATCTACCCAAACTGCTTTGCGCGCTACTTCGTGATTTGTGCAAATAGTGAACGTTGGCCACAGCACAGTATCTAACAGAATACACTTCTACACAAAAAAGCTAAGCATTGTAACCACCTTTTCTGGCTGTTGAGTATTCAAAATGACAGAAAGTTTCCGCCCAGTCAAGGTATCATGGTTGAACAAGTTTTAAATAGGTGAGGTTTGACTTTACCTCTTGACTAATTTTGCTAGAACAAAAACAAACGCTTGCAAAGTAGTGAGGGTAAACATGGGTTTTAAAGATGAGCGCCGAAACAGATTGCATTCAAAAGCCACGCATGTTGTTAAAACGTAACGGGGAACGAGAAAACGAAATATGGTAACAAAACGTACCTTGAACCCTAGCCCTATCAGGAACTTTGGCCCATTCAACCAAAACTTTCGAAAATTTGGAAACAGCGGCAAATGGTGCAGCAATTTTCCGGAAAAGTTTCCAGAAAATCCGGAAAAGTGTTGAATTTCCGAAATGCGAACCATATAACAGAAAATTCTAGAATTTCCGGGAGCAAAGTTGAATGGGAAGAAAATTTCGGGGAAAAAAAGTTTCGAAAATTTGGGTATACCTCGTGAGGTTGTCCTCTTTTTTGGAAATTTTGGGAAAAGCTGTTCCATTCGCTACTGGAAGTTGCCGAAAATTCAAACCGGACATTTTGGTTGAATGGAAAGCGCCCTTTATTTTCAATTCACGGCTTCAGTTTCCCTTTCCCCGTGCTCGTTGCCCGCTCCCGGGTTTAGTAGCATCCTAAAGGCGACCCTTACAAACGGTGGGTTCAAGTTAAATAATTACATAGTTTTGTAGTAGGTATTTGTAACGAATTGAATATGTTTTTATCGGTTTTAATCTTTCATTCAGAAAGCGTCCCCTTACGAAATAATTGTTTTGTTTTGCGTTTTTTAAATTTGTATCAGAAATCTTATTTTACTCACTTTTAACTTCAGTGAAATGCTTTCATGCTGTAGGTTTGCTTAAAGCAACCTGCGCCCCGGTTTTTAGTACCTAATCGTTTTATTACAAGTATAACGGATGATTTTAGATAATATACTACTTGTAGGGGATCGGAGTTTGATGGGGATGTGATTTAGCTGATTTACCAGCGTGACAGGTAAACAGGGGTAACATTTGAACTTCAGTAGACTAACGAGTACAAGTCGTTCATTTCACTCAAATATAAGTGAACAAGCAGTTACTAGAAGCACACGATTAATCGTCGCCCTCGCGCCAGCGCGATCGATGAGGGACCTCGTAATTTGACAACATAGTGCAAAACATGGATACTTTTAAATAACCATTAAAGACGCTAGGAACTAGAGAATATTAAGAAGCTGTAAACAGATATTAATACATTTATAACCGAGCTACCTATCAAAAAGTCTCAAAACCATGTTACCATCATGATTCCAGACGTAGAAAAAATAAACAGTGTTCACGTAGAAAGAGGAGAACTCCACAAGCATGCGAATATTCTTATTTACGTAGCGCAGTTCAGGCCTCAAAGGTACAATAAAGTTCGCATTTTGTTAACATATCAGTCATTCTTTTTAACCCGCATAGTAGGGAGTGTTGCAGGGCAGTAATTTGTTGTAGCGCTCGTTTCGCGACGAATTCCTCACCGCTAATCTCTCACCCAGATCTCTTGTTGGGGAAGCCGACAGCGAGATCTGGTCAAGGAGGAAAACTCAATTGTTTTGATTGGTTGGATTGTGAGCGAATGACGTGGTGTGGCCACCTGCGTGCTCAATGGCGTGTGCAATTCATTCTTTGCAAAGTCTTCAGTTCTGTTCAAATAAATATTTCCACTGAAGAAGTAGTTTTCCGTCTCAATATAACTTGTAACACAATTTTTAACTTACCTTCAAAGTTTTTTACAACTCTCTCTCGAACAGTATCAATATTAAGACTTTTGAAAAGGGTAAAAAAATTCTCGCGTACAAGTTGACTTATACTGCTTTGAGCTTTTAGCGCGCGCTACGATAATCAATTTTAAACCAACTGCCGCGTTGAATTTGATGTTACAAAGAAGAAGAACAACAACAACAAATTAGTTGGTTGATACTTAAGATGTGCGGGTAACCACGTTTTGTTAGAGAAAGCTTCACGGCTCTATCAAATTCGTTGTTTAACACGTCGAATTTTGAGAATTTATTTCGAGCATGCGCTCTTTCGTCGCCTGTAACATTCCTGACAGGAAATCACGTCTGCAAATCGGATTTGACCAGATCTCGCCTTCAGCTCCGCCAATAGAGAGCTTTAGATTTGAGGACGAGTACGACTACGAGATTAAACTTAAAAAAAGAAAAAAGATAGACACCCCGGAAAGCTTCATTTTACTTTTTTTGTTCACCGAAAAAGTTAGTACGGTTATGTATACTGAAGGAGGTTACACTGTAAGCACTCACCCGATAGCAAAATGATAAAACGTCTAACATTTGATAACTTGTTCCCACCACTACGACATTCTCGCTAAAACTCGTGGTAGAATGACGACGGCTATCACTTTTTCCCGCCGAAATAACGCTGGTTCACGGGTGAGCAATACTCAGTATTGAGAAAATCTTATACTCGAACTCGTCCTCGTCTCAGAATCTTAAGCTCTCTAATAACATATCTGGGTACGACATTACCCTCACCGCGCCTCAATGACCACAACTACACTCTCCTCTCAAACGTAGTAGAGTGTCAGACTAAACGCTTACGTCTTAAGTTTATTAACTCAGCGCTGGAATGACAAGCGTCCATTAGGGTTTACACAGTCACAGACTATTTCGTTGTCGCCAACTACGTGTATTTCTTATCGCTGCGTGTGAGACGAGTGGCCGCCAACTAAACACTGAAATTTGTCGTTTTTTCGACAACTGTCTGTTTCAGCATTTTCCCTACATGTGGTCGCTTAGTTGTCTGCGTTTGCCACTTTGGAAACGTGCTGCGCTATGCGCTATGAGCATGCAAAGTGAGCAGTTGGTTATCAAGTCCTCCCTGTCTTGATTTAATTATCGATAGCTGACACTCCAGTGTGTGGAATGCTTGCATCGGGCAGAATTGCTTGTCGATAAATAAGTGACTAATCAGTCTGTCGGAAGCACTAACTGTCCATATTACTCAGTCATCTACAGCACCATTATTTCGATGGTCACACAAAGCTCCTCCTCGCGTGCCAGGTAGGAGAATACCTTTCCTCTAGTTCATAACCCACCGTATATGGGTAGTGGGAATAAAAGAAATGGTTACAAAGGCTTTGATTACGGAACAAATTTTTCTAATCAGTAACACAAGAATAGTCCATTTTCGAGTTCGCTATGACCGCTAAATTAAAGAAGTGAAGACGCATTTTTTTTGCAGCCTTAGCCTCAATCTGAAGTAATATATTCACAAATTCTAACGAGAAAAAGACCTGTTTATTAGTCTGCCTATTGTGTATACAGCTATTTCGAGAAAGGTTGTCGGAAAAAGCGCACGCAACAATCCCGATAGGTATTGTGGGTGGTTTGGAGTTTACTGTTCTTCAAAGGAAATTTGACAGACTAGCACGAGAGGCCACGGAAATATGTTTGCGAGTGCTAAAGGAAAGCAACAAAACTGAGTAGGTTCGACAGCTACTGTCGTCAGGAACAGTGTATTGCTCATATCCCATATTGCCATTTGGGATTGTCGCGTGCACATTTTTTTCTGACAACTTTGCTCGAAATAGCTGTATTCAAATTTCAAACACTTACTTGCCACAATTTCTGAATATTTTACTTTAAGTCGGGGCTAACCCTGTATGAAGAACAGTGCATACAAAATGCGTGCTAATCCTGAGTGGGTCTTAAAGATAAACCCATGTACACATTTATGGCAAGAAGCAACGCAGACCACTGTGTTCCTGTTTGGAGTGTAGTCATACCGTTTTCGGCTCAAGGCCCCTCTGTTCGCTTTGCCCTGCAGAATGTAGACTGGGGTGAGGAATGATTCACCAGGTCATCGTTACTTGCAACGCCACTTTTCGTTCAAGAATACCAAGAAAATTCTTTGGAAATCCTTCAAACAATGTTCTGAAGTCTGCCCTTAACTCTTTCCTCCCTGCTTCAGCATGGCGAAAATTTTCGAGTTTCTAAGGAGGGTGGCCGTTTCTAATGAGAACAATAACAAATAAATAAGACTAGAGAGTTAGGCGGGAATTCGGAATCAGGAAATGGAATTTGCATCACTAGTGAACTGGGTTTTTTCAGTGCTACTGAGATTAAAGGCAAATTGGGACACTGGTTTTTGAAAAACAATTCAGCCTAATAAAAAAATGGATTTGTCCCCCTTCTCCATCCCCAAGATTGAAGCCACCAAGACCACGCATGGCCGTGCATGCGCACTAAGTAAAATTTGTCGTATTCTTTTCTCCTCTTTCTATCCGCTTTTCTCGTCTGTTTTTTTTCCGCTTTTGTCTTTTTATTTCTGTTGGAAAAGTCGTGAAGGAAACATTACAGAACGTGAGAGTAAGACAAGCATCAAGGATCAAAGCAAACGTCTCATTGTTGTCAGATCTTCACAGTTCAATTAGCACGCCCCATCCCCCGTGGTACGCAAGTTAGTCAAGCTGAAGGTTTCCAGTTATTCAAAAAGGCCTGGGGTCGGTCTGGGAAGGTGTCACCTGGAACAAAAGAACTATCGTTTTAACGATGGACAAATTAAGGTCGGTACAATTGATCATTTCTTGATACGGTGAAAAATTTTAACCAAGGTTCCTGAACTTACCGCCAAGAAACGAGGTGACGTAAGAGTCTTTCTCTGACCTTTTGCTGTTAAAAATCACCACGAATGTTGTGCGTGGATCCACGCGCGTTAAGAAGTACGTACTCTGAACGCGCTGTAAAGAAAATAGACATTACTAGTTTACAATCGTAGAGAACGGCTTAGCCAGATCGTGATCGTTATCTAACCTCTCCCTTTTCAATATCGCTGGTAGCCTGTTCCAGGCTTTCAAATCATGGGGACGACGCAAAGGAGGTGTGAGCATAAAAAACGGCGAGGGGGTGGGGTAGGGATTGAGACTCTCCCTCTCCCTCTCGTCCTTCTTATTTTTTTTCCCCTCCCTTACTTTGCGCCGCACTTATCCGCCGCACCTGCACACCCGCCTCCCCTCAGGAAAAATCGAGAAGGACCCCTATCCTGAAAGCCTAGAACTAATGGTCCTGAAGAATGAAAGTGATCGGAAACAAAAATCTGGACTATTAAGCAAATTCTACTTATCAACACTTGATGTTGTTAATGTCATATAGGAGGCAGGGATAGATGGAAGAGTCGGTTGGAATGGTAAAACTCCGTCTTACCCACCCCTCTCCCTTTAAACGAACAGCCCTAATTCAACATTTGATCATTTTCTTTTCTCTGCACTAAACCGCGATTTTCATGGCCCAACAGTGGTCGAAAAAACGGGTTACTAGGACGCTAGCGATCATCTTTCAGGTCTATGACTGTGGTGCAAGTCCAGGTGGCCCTGACAAGTGCGAGTCGGGATATGTTTCACCGCCTTGCTCTCGAGGTTTTTCTCAGGGTCCAGTTGGCCGAGTTCCCTCCTAAACCAAAACAAACTTCCGAAAGAATCAGAGGTTTCTTTAGCTTTTGAACTGACGGGCGTTCTATTTTAGAAATCGTGAGAGTTAATCGAGTTTGCCCGCAGGTTACAGGTTTACTTAGTAGGATGACTTTAAAAATGTGCTACCCCAGTAAAATGAAGTTGGTCTTATCCTTTGATAGGTTGTGATGTGAACACCTCATGGTAATTACCATGATTGAAAGGACAACGCATGCTTTGAGAGATTTTTATCACTTTCCTTTCGTCGGAAAGAGACGAACGATTTCTAACTTCGGACAGATATTTATCACAGACATTGGTGCATTTGCGACATGTTGAGGATCTTCTCGCAAGCGTGTTACTCTGCGAGACAAGACGAATTCCGGGGCGTGGTAAATAAACTACCTCGAATAAGAATTCATTTTTACCAATTAAAGTAAGGGACTTACAATATCAAAAAAGTACACGATTTTTTCCAGAGAATTTAGTTCTTGGACTTTGTCGAGGATTATAGATACAATGTTCGGCCAGTGTTCAACTGGTTGTTCCTACAAAAAGAAACGGACATCATAAAAATAGAAAAATCAAGAATAAAATAGCTACTAGACGAGCCAGTGATAAAAACAAGGGGAAAAATAGACCTTCCTCGCTGATGTGTATCTACTTATCGTTCAGTACGAGATTTTCGTCTCAGCTTCGCATTGACAGTAACTTAACAAAACAACAACAACAACAACAACAAACGTCGGTCAGACCATACCTTATAGATGCCTCGGCAGTGTAAACATAATTTGTTCTACTAAATATACGGGGAATATAAATTCGGAAGGTCTAGTTGTATCATATTGCTTTTGACATTTCAGCATCTGATATGTACGAAAGGTAACTTACGCCAGGGAATGAGAATATGGCCGGAAAAGCTCCCAAGCCGTAGGGTTTTTCTTTGACGTCCTGCGGCAAATGATATCCGTGCCCTTGATAAAAGTCCAAGTTATGAGTATCCAACAGCATGGATACATTATAAGCGTCCGAACGACGGATAAACGCTGCAATTCTACAAGAACAAAATAAGAAGTACAACGGTTTCACGAAGGTGCGAAATAATTCTCCTCAGCCCCAAGCGGGTTAACCAAAAGGACTGCCTCTAGGCCTTAGCTTGGGACTACGCCCAGCTGATGAGTCCCAATGAGGACGAAGCAGCTCAGTCCATGGTTGCCACTGCGCGGGTGACATGTCTGTGCGCATGTGTAAGGTACTGGCCATACTGCGGACAGCAGAGTTAACTACGGAGTTTGGTATTGTGTACTTTCTTCGGTTTTGGTTTTAAGATATTTTCCTTGCGGTTTGAAAGTGAGTGAGGGACTTTGTGTACAGAAGAAACTCTTGTTAGGAGTTTGTCGCTACGTTATTTGTGTCTTCATAAGAAACTGAAATAGACCAATTTCGATATATTTAAATTCATAACTGGCTCCGAGGCTTGAGGACATAAACAAAAGAAATGTATCATATGTATAAACTAAAGGACAAGAGGAGCACTCCTTGGTAAAATTATGGTTACTTCCACCCCCCCCCCACACACACACACACACCCACCCAACGACCACCACCACTATTAAAACGAAGTACCTTTGAAAGTTTTTACCTGCCTGCATAATCAACACTGGCACGTGATGTTAAGGACTTCATGTCTACTGGCGCGGTTTGTCTTGCGTTTGTCTTAGCCAAGAATTCGTATAGAATTGGTGAACCAAAATCTTTGAAAAGAGACAGGGGTGAACTAGAAGGGCAAATGGGAAAAAAAGTGATCCAAAGAATTCCCGTATAGAATTGCGGATCATCGTGTCGATTTTATTGAACCAAAATCGTTGTAAAACATTCAAGAGAGTAATAATGCTAAAATGCTGCTTATTCCAATAACTTTTTTTCTGGCTCTGGCGGGTATAAAACGACGCGGTTTTGACCGTTAACAAATGTGATTTTTTGCATACTAGAGGTCATGACACGCATTTTCTGTGGTTATTGTTGTTTCTGGTCGGCATGATTTGCCCTTTGATGCAAGAGCATTTCCTTT